TTTGATATAGAATCATTAATTACGTATACAAACCTTATAAAAAACGTATCATTTCCTTATTTTAATTTCTTATAGGGTTTGCATATAATCGAAAAGAAAATATATATGCTAACTACCTCTATCTTTTTTTCCCCAAACAAATGTGAGAAAAATGTAAAGGAGGTCTAGTTGCAACACAGGACCAGCTCTAAAAGTAAATAGTGCCGACAAAAGCATATGTTATGAAAGGCTGAGGGAGTCACAATTTCGAAATCGCCAAGCGTAAGACCAACTATGTGTCTCTCCGGTAGATCTCCATGTGAAAAGGTAAGAAGATTCCTTTTGCATGTGCTTTCATGAAGCTCTTGGCACCAGACAGCAATACTAATTACACCTTATAGCTCCTTATCTTCGGCTTGGCGCTCTTTTTCCCAGTAAGATATAAAGCATGTAGAGGTATGTGGAAGTTCAGCCAACTTTCCGCAAGAATTTTAAGGTATGTATATGCCATAAGGGCAGTCCCGGTTATGTATGGTGGCGAGTTTTTCTCACTATATTTAGGGAAAAAGATGTCTTCTGCTGTAACAATAGCAAGCGAAGAACAATCCTCCCTCAAACTGACTTATTTTTTGAAAACATGGGGAACAGATACTCTTATCATGTTTTTGCGGGGAGATGAAAAATTAAGAGATATAGAGCTTGGCTATAACTTTTTTACGAAGCTTAATGATGAAAAAATTACCGGTCATTTATTTCTCAAGTTAACCAGATAGGAATTCAGGGAGTTCAGAATGAAAATAAGACCTGCATTGGAACTTGAGGATTATATCAAGGAACTGTGTGAGTAATTTAGCCGAAAGGCGCTTTGCATAACAATATAGTTGTAATCTAATGAGCGTTATTCTTACAGTCATTACCTTTTGATAACAGATATTCGAGAACTAAGTTTTGGAGAACAAGTTGTAGAATCGGGTAATACCCCCAATAATTAGTAATTTTATTATGTATCAGCGTCACAGTCGCAATTATTATGTATTGTTAGGCCGGCTACCGGCAACGTTTTTTATTTCATAAATAAAGTATTATTATTGTACTGTACATGAGAAATGGGTCACAGGTAATGGTGCGGTCCGTAAAGGCGCTTCGCATAAATCTAACATTTTTATCTGAACCAATCTAGCCACTAGCCTATATAAAAGTAGCACTATATTAGGTGATAAGTGAGAAGAGTCTTCACGATTAGGGAGGCACAGTGATTAGCCATTAAGCCTCGCAGGCTATTGTTGCACCTATGATGCAATGTGGTTGATCATACGGCAGGTTTGTGAAACAGAATAATTTCTCACATATAGTCTACCTCAGTATTTTTTTCGCAAATAAAATCTTTTTTACTCTTGTCCTCACATACCGCACTTTGAGCCAATAACATTTCGCAAAAAATACTATATAAGCTGAAAACATGTCTATCACTTTACTATGTCTCGTTAAAGGAAATACGACTGCGAACGCCTTCTCTGTTAAAATAAGCAAGAACGAACCTGTTAGCGAACTCAAAAAAGCTATTAAGGCAGAAAAGGCACCAGAGTTCGACAATTTTCCTGCAGACAAGCTCAGGCTATGGAAAAAGGAAATTCCTGACGATCAGGACGATCTTTTAAGCAATCTCATTCTCAATGACGAACTAGAGCTCCTTGCAACAAGAGAAATTGGAGACTACTGGACTGAGAAACCGCCTAAGAGGAATATTCATGTCTTAGTCGAGCCACCAGAATCCACCGCCACTTCGAGCCAAGAGGTAAAGGAATTACTTGACCGTATCGCTTTGTTGGAGGAGAAACTTAGCAAGAATGAATATGGTACGTAGTATTTTTCTTGAGCAGATGCCGGCGAAAATTTACTAACTAATTGTTTCATTACAGCTTTCGACGTTATCGTTAAACCGAAACAGAAAGCAAATAAGTGGACAGCAAATATCGAGCAAGTAGGTCTTGGGGACCTCAAAGATCACATACGTGAATTGTACAAACCACTGGCACTTGAAAATGATGGAGCAGTACTGAACTTCGTGAATGATGGAGATAGATATTATTAGTGTTGTTAATCGACTTGGTTTTGCCTGGTCTAGCCGAAGTCTGCGGTCCACAAATAGGGAAGACAAGCCAAACTCTCGCGCTGATTAACAACACTAGATATTATCCCAGGAACGATGGCTCCTTCTGGGAGATGTTGCGGTCACTAGTATCAAAGAATAATCTCAAGTTTACTGTATTCATAGAGACGCCCTCGAAACCATTTAACTCCTGGACCTTCCCGAAAGTGTGTGAACTCTATGGGCTTAGTGATGATCCGAATCCCGGTATTGATGTTTATCCCGTTTTTAAATGTGGTTGTGTGGACACAAAGAATGAGAGGTATGAAGAGGCATTGCAAAAGCTTTTTGATGAATTGGAGACTCGTGTTGCAACAACCCCTATTGACGTATCCTACGAGGCCACAAAAAGCATCTATTCATATTCCTTTCTCGCCTCAGCAACTTTCCCATTTAAAAGCCAAATAAAAATAGTACCCGAAAAGTTGGTCGAAAAAAAATACGGACGTGGGAATCTTGACTTTGGAATTGAATCACGTACAACTGGGCGAACAATTGGCCTGATTGAGGTCAAAAAAGATGACTTTAAGCAAGGCTTAGCTCAAGCCACTGTACAGATGGAATCTTCACTAGGCCATAAGCGCAAAGCAAACGAAATAGATGATGAATATGGTTTGGATAAAGTATGGGGATTGTAACAGATGCGGAGAAATGGTACTTCATGGAATGTATGCAGGACAGTGAAGGAATCATAACATTTAAGTTGTCGAAGCCCTTATTTGTTGCATATGATGGTGAGGGTACGAAAGGCATGGCGGAAAAGGTCCTTGGTCATATTTTACAGTTACTCGAAGAAGCGCAGAAACCGGTGAAAGCTTTGGAGGAATCGAGGGAAATAAAAAGGGTAAGGTCAGGCGAGTTACCAAAGGTAACCGATCTTGAGGGGAAAACGAATTAGAATTTAAGAATAGAAATTTCGTCATGTATCATGGGCTACGTCCCGACCTATGTATTTATTTTTCGCATGTATTAATAAAAATTTTCTTGGCATTTTTTCCGAGACCGCGCGGTCCCGCAAATTTTTTTATTTTGAATGCTTATATATATTGTATTAGTTATATATAGATCATGTCATCCGAGCTTGAAGTATTGAAACAGCGTATCATTGAACTTGAGGCTGAGAATGCCGAAATACCTGATCTTAAAAGAAAGATCTCAGAGTTCGATGCTGAGAGAGTTGATCTTAGAAGAAAACTCTCAGTGTCTGATGCTGAAATAGCTGAACTTAAGCGCAGGAATATAGAGTTTCTAAGAGCGAATAAGGAACATAACGAGAGGCGTGATGCTGAAAATGCCAAACTCAGGGCCACAATCGAGGAGTTGAAATCTGAGAATATTGAAGTTAGAGATAGACTCACGAAAGTGGAACAGAGGCAGGTGCTAAATGATAATTCTTCTAATGATAATACCCCTAACATTAACTCATCTAACTTCAATTCGGGTGCGGTCCATCATGAAAAACCGTTAGAGGAGAAAGAGATGGATAGTTTCTTGCTTGAGGCTCATAAGAAAATCGTTAGTAGTGAAATAAAGCAACGCAATAAGGAAAAGAAACTTAGCAAAGCAGAGCAAGCATCTCTTAACCAAGATCAAGAATCTGACACCGGGTGCTCCACTTCTGAAAAGATACCGGAGGTATCGAATCCCGTGACTAAAGTTTCAGCCAGGGCTCCCGGCCAAAATAGCCGTAGGAAGAAAGGCGCAGAAAACATTGTACAATTGATAGCTGATGGCATTAAGGATGATGCCCAATCGAGCGACAAAACCATTCCTTGCGATGTGATTTCAATTGAGAGTCTTAACCAAAATTCATCTACAGATTCATTGCTTTCTCTAGCACAATTATTCGATAAAGCGGATGATGCTGAATATGGCGCAATTCGTGCTAATCAGGAAGAGATTTTGCGCTGGTATTATTATGGAAAGGAATTTTTAACTCAGGTTAGTGTGATTGTACAAGATGAAAAAGGCAAAATAGGCGAAAAAAAGGCAAAGGAAATAATCTATAATAAAATGTTGGAACACTTATCCATGATGCGAAAGCAACGATCTGAAGAGACAGGATTGCGTCTCCCAGAAATCTCCGTAAAAACTTACAAAGGAAAACTCAGAAAGCTGTAAAGATATATAAAATATTTGAAAAGGTAGGCGTAGAGAATATTAAGTATATTACGACATATAGTGCGAACTCTATCTCTGAGTTGACTAATGATAAAGTTCAAGATATCATAGATAATTTCTCCGAGCATAATGATAACGATAACACTGATGTGGAAGAAGTATCAAGTCGCATGACTGAGATTTCAGCCGGGGGTCCCAGCCAAAATTCTTCTGATGATTCCAAAGAAGTCAGCCCAAGCAATTCGCCCGAAGATGTGGACGATTACTACAAAATGATCTTGGAAGAATGTGCGAAGGATTGTGAGTATTTTGATAAGGAAATTGATTCCACGCCCCAGTCGGTGGAAGAAACGAATGGAGAGGCTGTTTTTGCGAAGAAAGGAGAAACAAACGAAGTTAAGTCAGATGATGAAAATGATTCTAGTGATTCTGAAGATGAGATGCCGGACGATTCGGATGATGATGATGGATATAATGGATACGGTGGATATAATGAATATGGTGAACGTGATAGAGGTTATTACTATCGTGATGGAGGATACGAAAGAAAAACCTCACCAATGATGAGTCCTATTATCTCTCCGGTAACCGCCTAGGAGAATTTCGCATATTTGGTCCTATAAGTTTATTACTACGTTTCTTTTTTCGAATCACGTGGGTGGCTTAGATATCGGGCTATTATGCGCAGTAAGACGTCATTGAATTGTTAGCCTTCTATTGGTTGAGAGTCTTCACGATTATCATATGACACAGCATGTATTGGCAAAACTTTAGAGAATAGATGAATATCGTTCGAAAAAATAATCGTGTATAATAAATAGTCTAAAGTTATAGAATGGCATCATATACTCAGGGCTAGTCCCACATCATGTAATTTATTTTAGCTTAATGTATTGCAAATAAAAAACGTTTAGGCCACTAAGTGACCCGAACAATGTAGTCAAATATTTTTCTCGTGGCGATTCAATGTGCATACAGTACTACTTTTTTATTACTCGAGTGTATATGCATGTTAATACAGGTAATTTAGGAAATCTGGATCGGCAAATTATTGGGCAATAAGATTGCCAGCGAAGATCAAGGGACTTTTATTCTCAAACTTTCTCGCATATTCTCAAAATCATTACGTATATTATTATTAAAAAAGGGCCCCTTGATGATCCTTACATATGGATAGCGTTAAATTCTTTTATTGTTAAATTAAGGAGAGTCCGTTGATCAGATTTTCGTGATGCGATCATATTAACGTAATTTTCCCCAAAAAGCGTATTCCAAAATCGATCCTGCGAATTATATAAAAAGGTAATGTTTCAATTAGTGAACCTCTTTATCTGCCTCGCGCAACTAAAGCAAAAATCAAACGAAAAATAAAACTTACCATCATTAACATCATCGAAATCAACAATCAAAACGAACTCGCATATTCCGCAAAGTTATAATAAGGTAGGTTGGTTTATTGCTCGGCTAGCTTCTTGAAACATGTCATCACGATGTTAATCTATTTTTCCTCCTCTATAGATGTCTCAAAATAAAACGGACATTACTTTTCTTACTATATATCGGCATTTTGATCTTCGCCGAGAAAATCAATGACCATCATCACGCATATAACGATAATATGCGCAGTGAAATTACTCACATGAATCTCATCACATGCAACGGCATAGCCAAAGTCTGGCGTAGTATATCTTCTGTCATAAGCATCTTCACGTGCCGAATTCCTGAAACTTTGCGCAGTATCGTTCCGGCAATAACCCTGAAAAAATTAAGCAAACAATTCCTTGTATATGAGGTGGAATGGAATGTTATTAAAATGATTCGTATTGGTGAGTATAAATCGGAAATATGGTTGCGTTGCTTATTTTTTTTTACCTCAGTTGCTAATATCACAAATTTATGCTATAGATCCGAAATTACTTAATCTTGGAAAAGTCTTCTTACGGGGAATAATCTTTTATATAGCTTGTGCGGGTGGGAGTGATGTAGATAGGCGAAAATTCTGTATATATAAGTGGTGTAATTTATTTCGGAGAAAGATTATGGGGGTGAGAATATTGTAGTTAGTAACTACACTTTTATCACATCCAAAACTGAAACCGCAGAGCCTATTTTCAAAGTCGTTATGCGATAGCAAGAGGGAAGCCCACGGCGTGGTAACAACACTACTCTCACTATTTTTTCATATCTTTTATATCTTTGAAATACGTCGCACAACTATTCCAGATTCCTGACCTTCAGCAAGTTATCGACCAAAGGGCTTACAGGTCCTAGATACACCAGCCAAGACTGAAACTTTGAACATAGGCCCTGGGGTCGTTATGCGATAGCAAGAGGGAAGCCCACGGCGTGGTAACAACACTACTCTCACTATTTTTTCATATCTTTGAAATACGTCGCACAACTATTCCAGATTCCTGACCTTCAGCAAGTTATCGACCAAAGGGCTTACAGGTCCTAGATACACCAGCTAAGACTGAAATTTTGAGCATAGGCCTGGCGATAGCGAGCGTAATAATGCGTATAATGATGATTGGCCAGTAATCACCTGATGTTACCCAGAACGCGAAATTATTTGAGCGTGACTGCGTGACTGTCGCGTCTCCTCATAAATATCGAATTTAACTTTTACTTCTTAATAAAAGCGTATCTCGGGTTTTTCTGAAAATGTCCAACTCTAAAAAGACGGAAAAGATACAGTTCGTGCAAGAAAACCTAGCAGAACTTAACATCATCTCTTTTTTCAAAAAATATAGTTACTTGCATAGCTCTCGCGATGCTGTCCAGAAAGATCTCAGAGAATGCTTAGAAGTTATAAGCCACACTGCTAAAGCTAAAAATGCAAACCTTGCGAAGTCGTACCTGGCTAATCTAGATGTAAGATATTATTATTACAAATAGATATTAAGTCGTCTTCGTCTAAAATTGAGCGCTCATGTTACACCCTTATATCATACAGAATATGTTTAAGTCAAAGCAGGCCGAGGATTTTTGGCGGAAACTTGAGGAAAGACAACTGAATGACGATGTAAAGTTTTCTAAGGTTAGTAATCGAAATCTGAATAGTTTTACCTGTCGTCCGTCATTAGAAAAAATTATTTAATACTTGCTCTGCAATCTAGGAAAAACATAATAAGAAACTTATCGTTAACGTTTTGCGGGAGCACGATTCTGTTAGTAGTAGCCTAGTGGTCTCTGAAACTGAAGGTTCAAGCCAACAACGATGTGTATCTTCCAATGAAGATGACCTTTCCAATGGCGACGACCTTTCCGATAATGGCCTTTCCGATGATGATGACCTTCCCATTGATAACAACGATGACTTTTCTAACGGTTCCAACTCAGGAAAAGATAATGAATATGAGAATGAAGATGACGTGGACGTTGCCGACTTATGTAAACCACACGTGATGGAAGCTGACACAGGGAAAGTGTTAACTTCTGATGAATGAGCGGAAGTACAGGCACTAGTGAATAGTTATCGATTAAAAATACCGAAGACGAGGTGTTTATACAAGTAAGTTCATCTTTATTATATTGTTCAATACCATCAAGACTTTGAATTGACAGTTTTCCAGCCCACTCTTTTACCACATTGTTGACCATTCAGGTCAACACGGACCGACCGCAAAATTGCTTAGTAAATATATGTCATCGATGCGTCGGTCACTACCTAACGTGTGCTTTAATTTGCCGATTCTTTCAGCTGAACAAGATAAATTTTTTGATAAACTGTTTGCGGTAATTATAACATTGCATCTCTTTGAGGTCTTTAATTGTGGACATTTGCTAAATTATATTAAATATAGGCAGAGGACATACAAGATGTTCGCGCAAGTACTTCTGAACAACGAACTGCTAAGAAATTGGTTGATAGGATGTGAGTTAATGCCGAAGTTTTTTTTGGAGATGATGCCATCTAATTATTTTTGCCATTATTATTTTTTTTAGCAATGATTCGATAAATTGCCCCAACAAAGACGATATCTCAGAATATGAACACACTATGCGCAATGTAATTCCATTCATTGACGCATCAATCAGAGATGAGCCAGACTACGTTATACGCTAGTAAGTTGGCATTTGACAATTTATTATTCATCAAAATAGCTAATTCTTCACATATATACAAAAAATGCATTAGTTTTGAAAGTACGCTTCGTGCCACAGCAATACGTCGTAATTCGGGTGGAGATCCTACGGAGCGTGCACGAATGGGATATAGAGTGGATGTGCTTGTCAATTTTCATGGCCTTTATTGGAGTCCTGACCTTGGGTGTGGTGAGGTATCAGGTGGACTTCCGAGGTGCTCTTCCGCTAAAGAGTGGATGGATACCCTTAAGCTTGGGTGGGAATTGCGTGATGTGTGGGCTCTGTCCCAAGATCGGTTGAATGGAGTGGATGCCAGTAATTTAGTCATATGGGGCTTTACTGTTGTTGGTGAGTGATAAGTTTCGCCCTGACATGCTTGTTTACCCTATTAATTCTATTATGTTTGATTAAAATGATTTAGCCCGCACAATTCGTATTTACGCACTCACGGCTGCTGGTGGTTTGTTCCATCTCATACTTGCTTACGAGGCACCTATACCATCATCGAGATGGGACATATATAACACCAAAATTGCTTATTGTACCATATTGGGATTTTTGCAAAAGTTGGATGCTACCAAAAAGATGCTTGTCGATCTGAACAATGAAAGATTGAAATTGTTATGCTCCGGAGTAAAACGGAAGAAGTTGCCTGCTTTTTTTTCCTCCCCACCAATCACAGGGTCGCCAGCAAAAAAAACGAAAAAATAATGTAATTTGTAAACTGAATAGTTCCGTCAAGAATTAGTATAATAATGATCTTTTTTGAGCTGTAAACTGTAATAAAAGAATTCAATGCGTCACAAAATACTGTGTCTGTACAGGACTCTAATTGTACCTGCCCATGCATTAATCGAAAAATAAGGGTGGCTTAGTTGTATTTTTTCTGAATTCAAGCTGATCATCTCGTGATTTGAGTTGCGAGAAGGTTGCGAGGAAGTGCCGGGAACTGACTAGGAACTAGGGGAGATCTCATGTGATATATTTTTATAATTTAGCCGTCTACGGTGATCGGATCTAGCCGAATAATACCACCCGAACAAGGGCATAATCGAATAAAAATGAATTTGGATTTACTAGCATGTAGTCTCACAAATCGGCTACAAATCAACTAATCGCTAATCAGTAAATCTGTATAAATTTGAATG